AAAAAAAAGTTCAATGTTCTTGTCCACCTAACATACACACAAACCATCCAGATGAATGGAGGTGGGTTCTTTGTTTGTTTTTTAATCCTCACCAATAGATATTTTTCCATTGATTTTTAGAGAGAGGGAAAGACAGAGGGAAATATCAATGTGAGAGAAACATATCAATTGGTTGCTTCCTGCATGAGTCCCAACTAGGTCCCCGGTCTGGGAGGAGCGTGTAATCAATGTACACGCTCTTGACCTGGAATGGAATCTGGGGCCTTTTGGTCCGCAGGCTGATGCTCTATCCACTGTGCCAAAATGGGTACAGTGGGTTGATTTTTTTTTTATGGGCCTCAATAAATCCATTAATGAAGAAAGGCAAAGATAAAAAAAATTCAGTCACCTAGAGCATTTTCTTCTGTCCTCTGAAAAGAGCTAGCAATAAATTTCTGTTCAGAAATCTTCAAAAAAAGAAAAGTAAAAATTAAGAAATCTGTCTTCAGCCCTGACCGGTTTGGCTCAGTGGATAGCGTGTCAGACTGAAGGGTCCCAGGTTCGATTCCGGTCAAGCGCATGTACCTTGGTTGCGGGCACATCCCCAGTGGGAGGTGTGCAGGAGGCAGCTGAATCAACGTTTCTCTCTCATCGATGTTTCTAACTCTCTATCCCTTTCCCTTCCTCTCTGTAAAAAATCAATAAAATATAAATTAAAAAAAAGACACATGCCTAGGTTGCTGGCTCCATCCGCGGTAAGGAGCATGCAGGAGGCAGCCGATCAATGATTCTCCCTCATCATTGATGTTTCTATCTTTCTCTCCCTCTTCCTTCCTCTCTAAAATCAATAAAAATAGATTAAAAAAAAAAAAAACAAAGAAAAAAAACCCCAGCAGCCCCGGTCCTAACCTTAAAGAAACACTAGGGGCCCTGCGCATCCAAAACTTCTCCCTCATCAGCCTCCCGGGATCCCAGACGCGGATCACAACGCCTTACGCATCCGGAACCGGGCCGGACGCTCCCAAGCAGGGACCAGCGCCGGCTCCGATACCGAGCCGAGCATTACATCCCCAACCTGAATCCGACACCGCGATCATCCTAAACGCCTCCGGATTCCTCACAAGTGGGGTCCTGCAGGGAACCCCCGGCAGGACACGGAGTTAACCTCCACAGACTATTAACCGGGCAGCGACCCCCAGGGCACCCCGATCGCAAACACCCGCCTCTGGCGTCCAATCCCGTGGCCATCTGGCTCCCCTCAGCTGCCTCCGCCCGGGCTCTTCGCCCTCCCCCTCCGACCCCGGCGACAATTCCATTCTTCACACACCACGCCCACACGCCACCCGGAGAGAGACAAAACTTCGACAAAAACGAAAACACTTCCAGGCACAAAACCACACACTCACCTGAATGTTCCCCCCAGACCCACCGGGGCCGCGCCAACGTTTTTTGTTTCCGCAAACGGCTTCGACTGCGGCACTGGTCCTGCTCTGGCTACGGCGGCCTAGAAAGGAGGCGTTTGAAGGAACGTAGACAACCACTTCCGGTTTCCGTTGGCAATATGGCCGCGCTCACATCGCGGCTGCGCCCTGGGGGCCGCCATGTTGGGACTCCTGACTGCCGTACAGAAGGTAGGGCCGCGCTGTGGGACCGGGAGCGAGGATTGGCGGGGAAATGGAAAGGTACTGAAATGACCCGGTGTTCTGGCACTTCCACTCTGGTGAGAAACGGGTCCGTTTCCAGAGCTTCGCGATGCAAACACGGTGCGACCTGGGTTGCCCTCAGAGGGCTGCGCCGGGGAGCACATGCTCCGCTAGAAACACGTTTCCAAACGAGCAATTAGGAGTTCAGATGTCACTGTCGCAGCGGAAGAGGCACTGCTAGCGAAGCAGGGTGGTCCCTCCTTTGGAAAACTGCTGTTTGAACTACTGTTATTTTTAAAAATATATATTTTATTGGTTTTTTAAAAATATGTTTTATTGATTTGTTTACAGAGAGGAAGGGAGAGGGACAGAGAGTCAGAAACATCGATTAGCTGCCTCCTGCACACCCCCTATTGGGGATGACCCCGCAACCAAGGCACATGCCCTTGACCAGAATCGAACCTGGGACCCTTCATTCTGCAGGTCGATGCTTTATCCACTGAACCAAACAGGTTAGGGCTACTCTGTTATTTTTAGATAGTCTCTTAGTCTATAGCTGTTTTTATAGCTTGAATAATAGAAAGGATAAACTTAACTGTCTGATCCTTGCAAGCTAGCCATCTAAAGGGGCTGATACACTGATACTGATAATAATTCCCATCTTCATGCCAAATGTTTGATCATCCAAGGTTACAGGTGTCTGTATAGATATGTACTCAAAGTTACAAGTTGTCTGTAGAGACATGACAGGTGTTTGTTAGATACGATATATACTCAAGGTTACAAGCTGTCTGCCAAAATAACTTACACAAAGAACTAGAAGGATAAAAAATAGAAATACTCCCTCCTGTTGTTTGTTCAGAATTTGACAGAGGTCATCCGCTCTGAACCTGCACGCAATCAAGATGACTCCTAACGAATGGGCTGGTTAAGGTGCCTTGTCCAGCTCGCTGATTTGCAATACAACACTAGAAAGGAACAATGGAAGATAACACATCTGGTAAACAGATACCCACGGATAGCTCTGGCCAGAATATAATTGGTCAGAGTGGTTTTGTGTGTGTGTGTGTGTGTGTGTGTTGTTTTTAAGAACAAAAACATTTCCAGAAACTCGTACAGTGTGAGGCTGGCCATTCCCAACTAGGAGAAAAGAACTGCTGAGATGAGTCTAACTTGTCATTGTGCGTAGGGACTCAGAAAAAAAGCCATTAGCGTGAGGCCAGTAAAAGTCTGGAATCGATGGCAAGGATGCAACCCGAATCCACCCCATTACAAGGTGATGGAGCTGTAATCCAGGACTTAGGGTTTGCAAGAATGTCAAAGGGAGGTGTGCAGTACAGACGGTGTGGCTCAGATGGCTGGGCAACCAGGAGGTCTTAGGTTAGATTCCCAGTCAAGGCACATGCCCGGGGTATGGCTTGCAGGAGGCAGCCAATCAATGTTTCTCGCAGATGTTTCTATGTCTCTTTCCCTTTCCCTTCCTCTCTCTGAAATATATATATATTTAAATATATTTTATTGATTTTTTACAGAGAGGAAGGGAGAGGGAGAGAGAGTTAGAAACATCGATGAGAGAGAAACATCAATGAGCTGCCTCCTGCACACCCCCTACTGGGGATGTGCCCGCAACCAAGGTACATGCCCTTGACCGGAATCGAACCTGGGACCCTCCAGTCCGTAGGCCGACGCTCTATCCACTGAGCCAAACTGGTCAGGGCAATAAAAGTATATTTTTAAAAAATGTGTTGTGCATCAGGCCGTTGTTAAAAAGGCATAATCCTGGACCCCAGTTCAGTACTGGGGTTTCTGGTTTAGGGGTGTGGGATCTGACTAGGGAATTTGCATTCATTTACTTTTCTGAAGCAGGAAGCCTATTGTAGAAAATCATTAGAAACAGCCCTGTATTGGACTTACCTGGTGATCATTTTGTACGTTATATACATGTCTAATCACTAATTTGTATACTTAAAATTAGTATAATGCTATATGTCAACTGTAAATGAAAAAAAGTTTTTTAACATATATTTACTTATTTCAGAGAGGGAGAGGGAGATAGAAACATCAATGATGACAGAGAATCATTGATTGGCTGCCTCCTGTACGCCCCCCACTGGGGACCAAGCCCCCAACCCTGGCTATGCCCTGACTGGGAATCAAACCATGACCTCCTGGTTCATAGTTTGATGCTCAACCACTGAGCCAACGTTGGAACCTCAACCCAACCACCAGCCCAGGGTCCTGAGTGTCCAAAGCTTCAGTCTCATGAGACCCTTAGGACCACAGACACTGATCACACACCCGATTATTCCCAAACCTGAACCAGGTGCCCTCGTGATGACCACCCATGGCCCATCATCATTAAGCCCCATATTGAATCCTGACCCAGAACCTGACACTGCAATCATCCTAAATGGCACCTCCATCCATTAAAAACAGAGTGGCCCTCAAAGACCATGATAGTAGGGACACGGTCACTGATCTCTACAGACCCCGAATCACCTGATGACCCCAATGCACCCCAACCACAGACAGGTGTATCACCTCCTTCCTTGCAAATACCGTGGCGCTCCTTTCACCTGACCCACCATGGTAATTCCACAGGCCAGGCACGCCACTTCCCCCTGTGATGTCATGTACCCTGTTAGAGACAAACCTCATCGGAGACAGAATTTTCCTAGAATTTTCAAAAAATGAGAACACATTGTTTAATGTGGTAAAATACACATAAACATTTACCATTTTAAAAATATATATTTTTATTGATGTCAGAGAGGAAGGGAGAGGGAAAAGAGATCGAAACATCAATGATGAGAGAGAATCATTGTCTGGCCACCTCCTGCATGCCCCCCACCAGGGATCGAGCCCACAATCTGGGCATGTGCCCTGACTGGGGATTGAACTGTGACCTCCAGGCTCATATGTTAACGCTCAACCACTGAGCCACATCAACCAGGCAATAAAAATATATATATTTTTTAAAAGAGTGTCATAATATAAGCCAGACATAATTAAATTTTTTTATGAATACGCCACTTTTAAAAAAGTTTAGCCTGCCATGAAATATATATATATATACACACACTATATATATATATATATATAGTGTGTGTGTGTATGTATGTATGTGTGTGTATATATATATGTATATATATATATGTGCCATGTTTACATATATAAACATTTTATATGGAAATGTTAAAAAATTAAAATAAAATTAGATCATACCTGCTTTTCCTCCCAGTATGATTGAAATATAATTTACATAGATTAGAACTACTTTTGTTTATTTACTTTTTAAAAATATATATTTTTATTGATTTCCGAGAGGGAGAGATGGAGCCCACAACCTGGGCATGTGCCCTTGACCAGAACTGAACCTAGGATCATTCAGTCCGTAGGCTGACGCTCTATGCACTGAGCCAAACCGGCTAGGGCTAGATCTACTTTTAATAAACTTTTTACTTCGGGAAGATTTTATATTTATACAAAAGTCAAAAGGTACTACTACAAAGAGTTCACATATACCTTCATTCAAATTCCTGCTATCTGAACATCTTATATAACCATGGTATATTTATGAAATTGATAAATTAACATTGGTATAATACGCAACCAAACTATAGATCCTACTCAGATTTGACAAGTTTTTCTTCTACCATTTTTTTCTTGTCCCAAGATTCAACCCCAAATACAATAGTTTTCAAACATCATGTTTCCTACATTTTCTCTGTTCTGTGACCATTTCTTGGTATTTTTCTTTTTTATGTCCTCAATTTTTTTGAGGAGTACTAATCAGGTATTTTGTATACTAACCAATCTTTAAGTTGGAATGAAAGAATTGCAAGAGTTAATTACATCATGAAACAGGCATAGAACACTTTTATGTTGCGTATATTGAAATTTGATCCATAAAGAGAGTAACTGCCACTATTTAAAGCTTAACTCAATGGCAAGGTAACTAGAAATATGGTGAAGGTATACTGCCCCCAACTGCCTGTGAGGTGTACTATCTGCTAAGACTTGTGACACAATGCTTTTTCATTCAAGCCTTCTTTCCTTCATTACATTACCTAAGCTTTTGCTAAAGACCACTAAATTGAATGTGTTCATGTGATATTTCAGCAAGGATTTGCTGGCAAATGACGAGGTAACATAAATTACTGTAAATGATGCCATATGCATTGCAAGACAAAACTGTTTTCTAGTGTGAACTGACATCTACTGAAGTTTTACTTTTGGACAGATGCTTTCCCATAATTAGAAATATTTATTAATTCATAATCTCTGATGATTACATATGCTAGGGTTTACTTACCACAAAAGGATTTCCCAATGTTACACTCATGGGATTTGTCTCAATAAACACTCTTTAGATATATAATGTCCTAAAATATTTTCAGCAAGGCTGATTGTATCTGAGTTATTTTGTAATTTTTTATCAAGAGATAATGACATAATTGATCAGTAAACACAGTACCAGGTTCTTTGCATTAAGTCATTTTCATTGCATACTATCTTCTTGAGGGCCTAGAACTCAAAAAGGGATTTCCCCAAAGCAACTATCTGTAAATTCTCTTGTTTAACAAGGATTGACAAGTGGGCAAAATCTTTCCCATAATTGCTGCACCCATTCGACTTCTCTCCTCATTGAGTCCTGAATTTGTCATGAAGGCTTCCCTACATTCATTACATTCACAGGGTTTCTCTTCATGGTGAAGCCTTTTCCACATACACTACAAAGGGTTTCTCTTCTGTATGTTTTCGCTGATGTCTGATTAGATTAAACTTCTCGGTGAAGCCCTTCCCACATTCACTACATATATAAGGTTTCTCTCCTGTATGAATCCGTTGATGTGCAATCAGCTTGCTTTTTGCTGGGAAGCCTTTTCCACATACAGTGCACAAGTAGGGTTTCTCTCCCGTGTGAATTCCCTGATGTACAATAAGACGACTCTTCACGGCAAAGCCTTTCCCACATTCACTGCACATATACGGCTTCTCTGAAGTGTGACTTAGCTGATGTACAGTGAGATTAGTCTTCATGGTAAAGCCTTTTCCACATTCACTACAAACAAATGGTTTCTCTGTTGTATGTGTTTGCAGATGTCTGATGAGATGGCTGTGCGCTTTGAAACCTTTTCCACATTCACTGCATACATAAGGTCTCTCTCCCGTATGAGTCCGTTGATGTAAAATGAGCTGCATCTTTCCTGGAAAGCCTTTTCCACATTCACTGCATACATAGGGTTTCTCTCCTGTGTGAGTTCGCTGATGTACAATCAGGTAACTCTTCCCAGTGAAGCCTTTCCCACATTGATTGCAAATAAATGGTTTCTCTAAAGTATGAGTTCGCTGATGAACAGTGAGATTACTCTTTATGGTGAAGCCTTTTCCACATACACTACACACATATTGCTTCTCCCCCGTATGTGTTCGCCGATGTTTGATGAGAAGACTCTTCCTGGTGAAGCCCTTTCCACACTCATTACATGTATAGGGTTTCTCTCCTGTATGAGTTCGCTGATGTGTGGTAAGACTGTTCATCAAGGTGAAGCCTTTCCCACATTCATTGCATATAAACGGTTTCTCTCCAGTATGAGTTCGACGATGTGCAATAAGACGACACTTGACAATGAAGCCTTTGCCACATTCATTGCATATATAAGGTTTCTCTCCTGTATGAGTTTTCTGATGTTTAGTGAGATAAGACTTTGTAGAAAAGGACTTCCCACATAGACTGCATCCATGGGGTTTCTCCCCTGTATGAGTTTGCTGATGATAAATGAGCTGCCACTTTTTTATGAACACTTTCCCACATTCACTACAGGTATATGGTTTCTCCCCCAGGTGAGTTTTCTGATGTATATTGAACTGTGATTTATTGAGGAAGGTTTTGTCACATTCAGTGCATTCATATTGTTTCAGTCGTGTATGAATTTTCTGATGTTTAGTGAGCTTGGATTTTCTGGCAAAGGCTTTCCCACACAGACTGCACCCATAAGGTTTCTCCCTAGTATGAACTCTCTGGTGATCAGTGAGCTGAGACCTTTTCATGAAGGCGTTCCCACATTCAGTGCACACATGGGGTTTCTCTGTGTTGTGACTTCTCTGTTGCTTATTAACAGGTGAATCATTATTGCTGTTTTTCATACTAACAGGAAATTTCATTTCAGTTTGTTCATTGTTAGCATGTAGAATGCATGTCCCATTGCCATTCAACTCAACAGAGTTAGTTAAGTGACAGCTTCTGTTTTGGTTTTCAAAATGTAAATTAGATTTTAAAGGTTTTTCACGAATGTCAAACATACCATGATTTTGCTTTAATAGGAAATGACCGTCATTCTGATGAAAAATATTTGCAAACATATTATATTCACAGCATAGTCCTAGATTCTTCTGAAGGCTTCGACTTTGCAAGTGACAATTCAGAGGATCAGCAACTTTCTTGAATTCTGGGAAAGAAGAGAACAGTAAATCATTCTGTAATCTCTCATAATCTTTGTTTGAAATAAAACTGTTCTTGCCTGGCCGGTGTGAATCAGTGGTTGAGCGTTGACCTATGAACCAGGAGGTCATGGTTTGTTTCTGGTCAGGGCACATGCCCTGGTTGCAGGCTCAATCCCCAGGGTGGGGGCACCAAGCAGGCAGCCAATCAATGATTCTCTCTCATCATTGATGTTTTTTATCTATCTCTCCCTCTCCTTTCCTTTCAGAAATCAATAAAAGTATTTTTTTAAAGAAGAAATAAACTGTTCTTACAAAATGTCTTCATGTGCAGTAACTATTTATTTTAAAAATATATTTATTGATTTTTTTAAACATTTTGTTTTAAATCTTCCCCTGAGGATATATATTATTATTATTGATTTGAGAGAGAGAGGAAGGAGAGAAAGAAACATTGATATGAGAAACATCTATAAGTTGCCTCTCATACATGCCCTGACCAGGGATAGAACCTGCAACCAAGGCATGTGCCCTGACCAGGAATTGAACACACAACATTTTGGTGTAAGGACGACAGTCCAACCAAGTGGGCCTCCTGGCCAGGACTATTGATTTTTTTCTTTTAGAGAGGAAGGGAGAGTGAGGGCGAGAGCAAGAGCGAAAGTGAGAGGGAGAGTGGGAGAGAGAGAGAGAGAGAGAGATATTGATCGGTTGCCTCCTGTACACACCCTGACCAGGGACTAAACCTGCAAATTAGGTATGTGCCCTGACCGAGAATAGAACCAGTGACCCTTGGGTGTAAGGGATGACACTCCAACCAATTGAGCCACAGCACCCATTGCTGAAGTAACTATTTAGTGTCAATTCTATGTTTTGTAGAATAAGAGATATATTTTGTCTTCATCCACAGTTCTTGACACTGATATTGTCAAACCTTTGTAATTTTTATAAAAATTTATTTAAAAAAAAATTACTTATCCTAACTTCATACCAAACACTAATATCAAGTCTCTCTTTTAATTCTACAAAACAACTAGAATCTGGAACTCAAACCAAACCCTGGACCAAAACGTAATCATTGTACAAACACTACGACTCAAAGAAACTAAAATATTTCTCCAAATCATAACCACGACTGAAAGCAAAATACAACATCAATTCTAATGTTCCCACAAATAATAACCGTAAACAAATTCTAACACATCGGGTGAGTCTATGTCTGGCACTAGGCTTAAAACTAACTCTAACACTATCTCTAGCTTTAACATCAAATTATAAAATGTTTCAACTCTAGAACGAACTCGAATTTAACTTCAACCAAGCCTATTTTCTACAATTAAGCTGACTCTAAATCTAAACCTTAAACTCAAATATAACAGTAAATTTTTCATATTTTAAGATACAGCAAATAACTTTGAACATAATAGATCTTGTTATGCCCGGGCTGGTTTGGCTCTGTGGATAGAGCATTGGCCTGCAGACTGAAGGGTCCTAGGTTCAATTCCAGTTAAGGGCACATGCCTGGTCTGCAGGCTCCATCCCCAGTAGGGGGTGTGCAGAAGGCAGCCAATCAATGATTCTCTCTTATCGTTGATGTTTCTCTCTCTCTCCCTCTCTCCCTCTCCCTTCTTCTCTGAAATCAATAAAATATATCCTACATAATAAAAGCCTAATATGCTAAGTGTCCAGTCATCCGTTCAAGCAATCAAAGTGTAATATAATAATGATATGCTAAGGCCATGCAACTGCTCGTTATAACGTGGACTGACCACCAGGGGGCAGACAGCTGACCAGTCGCTATGATGTGTACTGACCATCAGGGGCCAGACACTCCTACCGGTAGATGAGATTGCTGCTGGGGTCTGCCCAATGGGGACTGAGCAAGATGGGCCAGACACACCTTGGAGCCCTCCTGTGGTCCCTCCCAGCTGGCCAACCTTCCGCGTCCCTCCCCGGCCCGATCATGCACCCGTGGGGTCCCTCAGCCTGGCCTATCCCCTCTTGCAAAATTTGGGACCCCTTAGGGGATGTCGGAGAGCAGGTTTCGGCCTGATCCCCCAGGCCAGGCCGAGGGACCCCGCTGGTGCACAAATTCATGACTCGGGCCTCTAGTATATATATATAAATGGATTTTTAAAAAATACATTTGATTCTCCACAGAGAGGAAGGGAGAGGGAGAGCCAGAAACATCAATGAGAGAGAAACATTGATCAGCTACCTCCTGTACACCCCCCACTGGGGATGCACCCACAACCAAGATACATGCCCCCGACTGGAATCGAACCCGGGGCTGTTGAGTCCGCAGGCCGATGCTCCATCCACCGAGCAAACCGGTCAGGGCAAAAATAGGTTTTATTATGCTATAAGTCATAGATATTCATTACAAAATTAGTAGAGATTTCATTCAAGGATTGAATCCTCTACAGGAAATAATATACAAAAATACCGTTGGGTAAGAATTCATTTTTTTGTTTATCCTCACCTGCGGATATTTTTCCATTGATTTTTAAATATATATATATATATATATATATATATATATATATATATATATATATCTTTATTGATTCCAGAGGATACACAGGATGCGGCAAGAGCAGCTTTACAGGTGTTTATATGGGAAACCTGGCATTAATTGATAAGTAATAATACAATTATAAACCTGTGTTTCATGTACTCACAACAGCAAACATACTTTTGCTCAACCTGTATTTAAAGAGAAGACAAGGTTCACTGATGGGCTAAATGGGAGAAGCAAGAAGAGGTTAATGAAAGTGAGGACTTACTAGTAAACATTACTCCAGGAGTGATGTTTCTTTTTTTCTTTTTTTTAAAAATATATTTTTATTGATTTCAGAGAGGAAGGGAGAGGGAGAGAGAGATAGAAACATCAATGATGAGAGAGAATCATTGACCAGCTGCCTCCTGCATGCCCCCCACTGGGGATGTGCCTGCAACCAGAATCAAGGTACATGTCCTTGACCGGAATCGAACCTGGGACCCTTCAGTCCGCAGGCCGACGCTCTATCCACTGAACCAAACCAGTTCGGCTGTTTCTTCTTTTGCAGAGATTCACAAGCTGATTCTAAAATTCAAATGAAAATTCAACCATCCAAAAATCAAAATTATTTTGAAAGAGAACAAAGTTGGGTAGTTCACTCTTTCCAATTTCAAAACTTATAAAGAGCTACAGGAATCAAGGGCGCAATAAGAAGGTGTAAATAGCTCTGGGTGGTGTGGCTTAGTTGGAGTTTGTCCCATGCACTGAAGGGTCACTGATAGATGTTTCTCTCTCTCTCTCTCTCCCCCTCTCTCTCTCTCTCTCTCTCTCTCTCTAATTATGGCCAGTATGGAACAGTGGTTGGAGCATTAGCCTGTTCACCAAAAGACTGCGGTTTGATTCCAGGTCAAGGGCATGTACCTGGATTGCAGGTTTGATCCCCAGTACCAGCAAGTACAGGAGGCAACTAATCAATGTGTTTCTCTCACATCGATGTTTCTCTCTCTCTCTCTTCCTCTCCCTCCTTCCCTTCTACTCTCTGTAAAAAAAAAAAAAAAAAAAAAAATCAATGGAAAAAGTAACCTCCGGTGATGATTAACAAAAAATAAAACCAAAAGCACTTATTACGAATATATTAAATGAATATATTAAAAAACATTTCTGTAAATATAAAATGTTCTAAAATTGATTGTGATGATGGTTCCACCACAACTATATCAAATATACCACAAACCAGTGAATTATATAATTTAGGTGAATTGTATGGTACGTGAATTAAATCTAAGTAAAACCATTAAAACTATGATGTGTTTTTGTTGTTGTTGTTGTTTTTAAATAATTGTAGCCCTGACCAAACTGCTCAGTTAGTTGTAGCATCATCCCAATATATGAAGGTTGCACATCCCTGGTCAGGGAAACATAGAAGAATCAACCAATAAATGCATGAATAGGTGAAATGACAAATCTATCTATCTATCTATCTATCTATCTACCTACCTACCTACCTACCTATCTCTCCCCCACCTCACTCTAAGATCAATAATAATAAAACAATTAAAATGAGTAAATAAATCAATATATGCAGTAATAACATCTTAGAACGGACAAAAATCTGAATTGGGAAAACTAGGAAGTAAGTCATTTGAAGCAGACATAAGTTATGACGTTGTTTGGTCTCAAACTCATGTAATATGTTAAGATCTTTTCTTGTTCATCAAATGAAGCAGTAGAGATCTTTTTTTATTTTTTTATTTATTCATTCTTTACAGAAAGGAAGGGAGAAGGATAGAGAGTTAGAAACATCGATGAGAGAGGAACATCGATCAGCTGCCTCCTGCACACCCCCCACTGGGATGTACCGCAACCAAGGTACATGCCCTTGGCTGGAATCCAACCCGGGACCCTTCAGTCCGCAGGCAGATGCTCTATCCACTGAGCCAAACAGGTCAGAGCAGTAGAGATCTTTAAGAAGGGAGAGCTCAGCATGTAGGGAACATCCCAGATGATGCCAGGATGGACAGAATTCAAAATATCTAATTCAGAAAGAGGAACTAATAGTAAAAAAAAATAAAAGGAAGGTGATTCCTGCTCTCACACACAAAATGGGAAATTAGAGGCCAGCTGCTATGATGATGAGTAAAACACACTGGAAGAAAGTGTGTATTAGACGATATTGAAGGAGAAGTCAATTTGGGAGCCCATTTCACAGAACAGAATTAGGTCAACTCATGGGAACAGAGGAGACGTTTAAGATGAGAACTGAGCCGAAACCGGTTTGGCTCAGTGGATAGAGCGTCGGCCTGCGGACTGAAAGGTCCCAGGTTCGATTCCGGTCAAGGGCATGTACCTGGGTTGCGGGCATATCCCCAGTAGGAAATGTGCAGGAGGCAACTGATCGATGTTTCTCCCTCATCGATGTTTCTTTTTTTTTTTTTTTTAAATATTTTATTGATTTTTTACAGAGAGGATGGGAGAGAGATAGATAGTTAGAAACATCGATGAGAGAGAAACATCGATCAGCCGCCTCCTGCACATCTCCTACTGGGGATGTGCCCGCAACCCAGGCACATGCCCTTGACCGGAATCGAACCTGGGACCTTTCAGTCCACAGGCCGACGCTCTATCCACCGAGCCAAACCGGTTTCGGCCCTCATCGATGTTTCTAACTCTCTATCTCTCTCCCTTCCTCTCTGTAAAAAATCAATAAAATATATTAAAAAAAAAAAAAAAAGATGAGAACTGAATATTTAGAACTTTGGGAGGATGGGGGAAAACAACATAAATGCACCATGAAAAGCAGGTTATTATTCATTTTAATATACTCATTTTAATATATTTGTAATAAGCGCTTTTGGTTTTGTTTTTTGTTAATCCTCACCGGAGGATACTTTTTCCATTGATTTTTTTTTTTTTTACAGAGAGTAGAAGGGACACAGTATCCAAAGTGGGTTGGAGGTTATGGAGGGAAATCACTCTTTCCAACCAGGGCATGAAGGCCCAGTAGTAAGAAAAAAAGTAATGAATTCAAAGTTCTGTCTTTCCAAAGAGACCTGGAAAGTAGAATTCCATAGCTACGAAAGTGGTAACACAGACAGAGACACTGTGACCATGGACAAAGGGAAAAAAAAATCTGAAAATCTTAGGACAACGGAAACTATGCAAACAAAATCAAGATGTAGATAAAATAAGCAAGTCAGAGCTCAGAAAAGAAAACCAGGGCCTGCTATCCTCTAAGCTTCTACAAAAGGGTTCTCGTATGTGGAGGGGAGGTTTGAGTTTCCTCATTCACTGTCACAGCTCTGACAACGTCGCTGACTAGAATGTGACTTCCCGGCCGCGCGCCTTGCTGGTTCTCCCCCCCTCACCTGGAGAGACTCGACAGTGGCGTCCACGCTGTACTGTCCACGGCTCTTCCCCTTGTTCCAACTTGGAGAGCGCGTCTGGTTTGCTGGCTTGATACCCTGCTTGTGAACAAGGACAGAGACTTAGACAAATTATCTTGGGCTGGGCTCTGTCAAGAAGGGAGAATGAGCCCTGGCTGGTTTGGCTCAGTGGATGGAGCATCGGCCTGCGGATTGAAGGGTCCTGGGTTCGATTCCAGTGAAAGGGCACATGCCTGGGTTGCGGGCTCGATCCCCAGTGGGGGGCTTGCAGGAGGTAGCCAATGGATGAGTCTCTCTTATCACTGATGTTTCCATCTCTCTCTCCCTCTCCCTTCCTCTCTGAAAACAGTGGAAAAAAAAAAGAATATTTTATATATATTTTATTGATTTTTTACAGAGAGGAAGGGAGAGGGATAGAGAGCTAGAAACATCAATGAGAGAGAAACATCGATCAGCTGCCTCCTGCACACCCCTCACTGGGATGTGACAGCAACCAAGGTACATGCCCTTGACCAGAATCAAACCTGGGACCCAGCCGAAACCGGTTTGGCTCAGTGGATAGAGCGTCGGCCTGCGGACTGAAGGGTCCTAGGTTGGATTCCGGTCAAGGGCATGTACCTGGGTTGTGGGCACATCCCCAGTGGGGGATGTGCAGGAGGCAGCTGATCGATGTTTCTCTCTCATCGATGTTTCTAACTCTCTATCTCTCTCCCTTCCTCTCTGTAGAAAATCAATAAAATACATTAAAAAAACCCAAAAACCTGGGACCCTTCAGTCTGCAGGCCGACGCTCTATCCACTGAGCCAAACCAGTTAGGGCCAGTGAAAATAAAAAATAAAAATAAAAAAAGAATGGAGAATGAACAGGTTCACATCTAACACAATGACTTTTATATCATGAGAGGGGACATTATACGCTCTTGTCTGGGGCAAGAGAAAGATGTGAGGTTGTACCATGTCCATATCTGTATTTATTCTGAACAGTTAAGCAGCTTATCAATAAAAAGCCACTGACGGGGGACCATCGGACTGACACGGGGGAGCTGTCCTCACCCACTGACACCAGGTGGCTGTAGGTCTCCAACATCACGTCCCTGTACAGGTCCTTCTGCTCAGGGTCCAGGAGCTGCCACTCCTCCCAGGTGAAGTCCACGGCCACATCGTGAAATGTCAGGGATTCCGGTAACAACTCCATGCTGTGTAAGGGCGTGACTTCCTGTACATGACCTGGGAGAAATGTTAGTTTTTCTGCTCATTTTCACTTTACAGACTGCACCTATATAGCGAGTGGAGTTTTATATTAATATACAGTTGAAGAACCCCATGGCTAGTAAAATACTATTTGTAATTGTACATCCATGTATTCTCCCAATTAGATATTTCTATAATGTGAAAGTTAAATGTGCTTGTTAACCTAGAAACACGTTTCATATATTCAAATGCATATATGTGAAAGAGAGAAAAAACATATGTGTGTGTGTGTGTGTGTGTGTACTTTTCAGATTAATGGAGGTGGTTTTATAGGCCTCTTCAAATCCACTACAGAAGAAAGCAAAGGGAAAAAACAAATCCAGTCACCTGAGCCTAGAGCATTTCCTTCTGTTCTCTGAATAGAGCTGGCAACAGGGAGGCTCTGTCTGGGTGTCTTTGGGGTCTGCTCTGTGTTTCTGTACAGAAATCCGTCTGCAGTCAGGGGTGTCGCGGAAATGCTGATACTAACCCTGCAGCCTCCTCCTGCTTCACATGATTCAATTGTTCCTGGTGCCGTCATAGATACGTCCAAACTTGTAAAGAATTTTTATGAGTTTATTTGAGCCAAAGCGAAGACAAGTGCCTGGAAGCAAAATAACAATGAATTAAGAAAAGGTTGCCAAAACCGGTTTGGCTCAGTGGATAGAGCGTCGGCCTGCGGACTGAAAGGTCCCAGGTTCAATTCCGGTCAAGGGCATGTACCTGGGTTGCGGGCACATCCCCAGTAGGAGATGTGCAGGAGGCAGCTGATCGATGTTTCTCTCTCATCGATGTTTCTAACTCTCTTTCTCTCTCCTTTCCTCTCTGTAAAAAAATCAATAAAATATAAAAAAAAAGAAAAAAAAGAAAAGGCTTTAGAGAATGGCAGTTTTACACCTAATTTATACATGAGAATCAAAGAAACACAAGAAGGTTACATGAAATCCATGGGTGAAACATTAGGGGTGAGGGAAAAAGCAAAGCAGAGAAATCTCTGGGATTGGATTAAAAGTAAAAGGAACAGACACCTACCTCTGCGTAGGTGGAAATAGGATAATAACACTTAGGAATTAACATGACAGCAATACCATTGAGGGACTCTGTGGTCTCTTGCTCTGGTTGGAGATTGTGCCCTGAGGAATCTGGAAAAAATAAAAGAAATTACCCCAACATTTCAAAGTCATGTCATCCCGGATGTAAGAAGACAATCGAGGCGTGGTTAAGTTAAAGAATGACCTTTTCATTTTTTGTTCTTTTTTTTTTTTTAATATTTTTTATTGATTTTTCACAGAGAGGAAGGGAGAGGGACAGAGAGCCAGAAACATCGATGAGAGAGAAACATCGACCAGCTGCATCCCGTACAACCCCCACTGGGGACGTGCCCGCAACCAAGGCACATGCCCCTGACCGGAATCGAACCCAGGACCCCTCAGTCCGCAGGCCGACGCTCTATACACTGAGCCAAACCGGTTTGGCAAGAATGACCTTTTTAAAAAAATATATTCTTTAAAATTAATTTTAGAGAGGAAGGGAGAAGGAGAGGGACAGAGACATCAATGATGAGAGAAAATCATTGACTGGCCGCCTTCTGCACGCCTCCTACTGGGGATCGAGCCAGCAACCTGGGCATGTGCCCCTGACCGACCGGAATCAAACCCAGAACCCTCAGTCTGCAGGCTGATGCTCTATCCACTGAGCCAAACAGACCAGGGATAAAGAATGACCTTTAGTGAAGATACCAGTCTAGGACATGACTACTGCCTAGACTCGCTTTGAAGTTAGAAGGAATTCATTTCATACCATCCAATGTGTTGTTTGGGCCTCTGAGTTTGTAAGGCTCTCCATACAGGCCCCTCTGAGTTTGCTAGGTTTCGTATGCGGTCCCCTTTAGGTCCACACTGGGGAGTTACAACCTGGGATAAGTTGAGGAGAAAAGTCAATGAGTGGTACATTTCCTCTGGGACCTGTTGTTAAGGTGCTCCTGCTGACAATGCCCACAGTATCGCTGGTATCCCTTTTTTGGTTTCCTGGAAATATTGACTCTTCAGGCCAATAAATCCTTAGGTTCTAAATGTGGTGAAGGTGTTCCTTAATTCTCTGGAGTTTTGTGAAGTGATTGTGAAAAAAAGATGAGGGAAATGACACTATGGGGGTAGAATAATTTTTCTCCTTTTCTAGGTTCTTTGCTTGGTCTAATAATTAAATCGATATAACCCAGATTAACAGAGGAAAAAACAATCAGAAAGGTTAACAACAGCCCTAGCTGGTTTGGCTCAGTGGATAGAGCGTCGGCCTGTGGACTGAAAGGTCCCGGTTCGATTCCAGTCAAGGGCATATGCCTGGGCTGCAGGCTCGATCCCCAGTAAGGGCGTCCAGGAAGCCGCCAATCAATGATTCTCTCTCATCATTGATGTATCTCTCTCTCGCTCCCTTTCCCTTCCTCTCTGAAATCAATAAAAATATATTTAAAAATAAAAAGGTTAACAACATGTATCCCTCCTGCATACATACAAGTGACCTAGTAAAATGAAGTCACAGTCCAAAGTGGAGGGCTCCATAAAGATACTGGGGTTGTAGAGTCGGTTAGAAGGGTTACCAGGAAAAGCACAGTAAACAAGGGTAAGGTTGCTATGCAGTTCGAAGTCCCCTCTCCTCCGCTGATAGTTCAGACAGGTTTGGCATAGTGAGGGAGACACCTTACGGATGACATTGCCTTTATAAATGTAATGTCCTTCACAAGGAGTAAATTACTAGGGTTTCTCCCCTCAAGATGCAGTTCCCTCAAATTAACCAGTCTAAAGTTACCAATATCCCAAAGAGGCATATTTTAGGGTGGCAAGCTGTCCCCTTCTGATTCAAGAAATTATGTATTGAAAAGACAAAATTAGCCCTAGCTGGTTTGGTTCAGTGGATAGAGCCTTGGTCTGTGGCCTGAAGGGTCCCAGGTCCAATTCCTATCAAGGGCACACAACCGGGTTGTGGGCTGGATCCCCAGTAGGGGGCGTGCAGGAGGCAGCCAATCAATGATTCCCTCTTATCGTTGCTGTTTCTCTCTCCCTTTCCCTTCCACTCTGAAATCAATAAAAAAAAATCTTAAAAAAAAAATCCATGAGCAAGGCCAATTTTTTTAAAAAAAGGATAAAATTATCTCAGAAACAACCAACAGATTTTCGCACATATAGTTGGCTAGAAGTGCATAATGTACTTAAGCTCATTTCAGAGTAATTCAGTCACTAGCCGTGGGAACTGGAACCACCACAATTGACGAAGACGGACCCAAACTTACTAATACACTGGCATATGCTCACCTTGTCAGAGGGATGGATATGAAATAAAATGCAGATTCTGTTAGCAAAGAAAAACGCATGAATGTATGACAGGCAAATAAGCAACAGCGTCCACTGCTATCAATATATATATTTTAATGATTTCAGAGAGAAAGGAATAGGGAAAGAGAGATAGAAACATCAGTGATGAGAGAGAATCATTGACTGGCTGCCTCCTGCACGTTCCCTACCGGGAATCAAGCCCCCAACCTGGGCATGAGCCCTTGACCGGAATCGAACCCAGGACCCTTCTGTCCACAGGCCAACACTCTGTCCACTGAGCCAAACTGGCTAGGGCTGCTATGGATATATTAAGAGGTGAGAGCAGAAGTCAACAAACTTTTTCTTAAAGAGACAAAGGGGGCATGTTCCCATTCGCAAACTAAACTGTCTGTGTCACAGACTCAATTCTGCCTTTGCAGCGCAAAAGGTGCCACAGAGGATGCATGACACAGGCGCTGCTGGTTTAGTCCCTGGATCTCTAGTCAGTCAACGAGTGGACTGAAGGTTATAAAACTGAAGGAGCCCTAACCGGTTTGGCTTAGTGGATAGAGCATAGGCCTGCGGACTGAAAGGTCCCAGGTTCGATTCCGGTCAAGGGCATGTACCTTGGTTGCGGGCACATCCCAGTAGGGGATACGCAGGAGGCAGCTGGTCGGTGTTTCTCTCTCATTGACGTTTCTAACTCTCTATCCCTCTCCCTTCCTCTCTGTAAAAAATCAATAAAACATATTTAAAAAAACAAAACAAAAACACATGCAATACCTGATAATACAGTCAGGGGCACTGATCTCTTAAAAAAAAAAAAAAACACCAAAAAAAAAAAAAAAAGAACGAGCCCTAACCGGTTTGGCTTAGTGCATAGAATGCAGGCCTGTGGACTGAAGGGTCCGGGGTTCGATTCCGGTCAAGGGCACATGCCCAGTGGGGGGTGTGCAGGAGGCAGCTGATCGATGTTTCTCTCTCATCCATGTTTCTAACTCTCTATCCCTCTTCCTTCCTCTCCGAAAAAAATCAATAAAATGTATTTAAAAATTAAAAATAAAAATAAACAGAAGGACTGGCAATAGCACTCCGGGCCCTGATGCCTTTGGTCCCAAACAGCAGCCAAGGTCGTAACTTTAAAAACACCAGGGATCTGCCCTGACTGGTTTGGCTCAGTGGACAGAGCATCAGCCTGCGGACTGAAAGGTCCCAGGATGGATTCCAGTCAAGGGCATGTACCTGGGTTGCGGGCACATCCCCAGTAGGGGGCGTGCAGGAGGCAGCTCATCCATGTTTCTAACTATTGGCTCTCCCTTCTTCTCTGTCAAAAAATCAATAAAATATACATTTTTAAAAACAAAACAAAACACACCAGGGATCCTGCTCGTGCCAAACTTCCCCGTCGCCAGCCTCTCGGGACCGCGGACTCTGCTCACACTTCCTTCTTCATCGGAAACGCAGGCCAGACACTCCCAGGCGTGGACACCCGCGCCAGCCCAACATCACTGACCCGCGTATTAAATCCCCAACCTGAACCTGACTCCACGATCATCTTCAATGCCTCCGGCACTTCTTACAAGCGGGGTGACCCGCAGCACCGCATAGCCTGACAGTCCGGACAAGGGCGTCACCTCTACAGACTCTTCACCTGGGCACCGACCCCGCGGGCACCCCGACCACAGACAGACGCCTCTGCTTCCCTTCAAATACCTCACATCCCGGTCCTACGGGGCTCCCCTCAGCTACGTCCTCCCCCCTCTCCTACCCTCCCCCTCCGATCCCGTGATGATTCCACGCTCCGCACAACGCCGCGCCCACACGTCACCTGTGAGAAACCAAACTTTTGCTGTGACAAAAAAAAAACCCAAAACTTTTGGGGACAAAAACCACACACTGACTGACTAACCTGAATTTTTGCCCAGCCCGACGCGGGGAGCGCGACCGTGGTATTTCCGCGAACGGCTTCAACTTTTGTCCTGGTGCCGCCCCGCCTACGGTGGCCCAGGAGGACCGCGGGCTTTTGAAGAGGCGTTTGGCGGCGACATGTCTGCGCCCACGTCGCGGCGCCGCCACGGGGGCCGCCATGGGTGACACCTGGTTGCCGTACGGAAGGCAGAGCCCGCGTTAAGGCGCTTAGCCCGTATTGGTTGCTAAAAGCATCTCGTTTTACAGCACTTCATACGCAAAAAATAAAATAAAAAGGTCAAGTTTTCAGAGCTTCGCGGTGCAAACACCGTGCAACCGAAGTTGCTTTCAGAGGGCTGGGCAGAAAAGTCCGATAGCTGCGGAGTATATTATTCTCCCCTTTATATATAAGTTTATATACCTGACAAACCACGTTTCCAAAGGAGCAATTACGGGGGCAGGGGTCAATAGCAGCGGAGGAGGTCCTGCTAGAAAAGGTCAATTTAATGCAGCGGTTCTCAACCTGTGGGTCGCGACCCCTTTGGGGGTCGAACGACCCTTTCACAGGGGTTGCCCAAAACCATTGGAAAACACATAGATAATTACGTATTGTTTTTGTGATTAATCACTATGCTTTCATTATGTTTTAATTTGTAGCAATGAAATTGGGGGTCACCAGAACATGAGGAACTGTATTAAAGGGTCGCGGCATTAGGAAGGTTGAGAACCACTGATTTAATGTATTTGGTAAAGGGACACTCACGTATACCTCTGGCTGGAAAATAGTTGGCTTGAGGCATGTATTTTTTTTGTTTGTGTTTTTAATAGCTAGAAATTACTGAGCACTTTTTTAAAATATATATTTCTTTTTTAAAATATATATTTTATTGATTTCTTATAGAGAGGAAGGGAGAGAGATAGAGAGTTAGAAACATCGATGAGAGAGAAACTTCGATCAGCTGCCTCCTGCACATCTCCTACTGGGGATGTGCCCGCAACCCAGGTACATGCCCTTGACCAGAATCGAACCTGGGACCTTTCCGCAAGCCGACGCTCTATCCACTGAGCCAAACCGGTTTCGGCAGAAAATATATATATTTCTTTATTGATTTCAGAGAGGAAGGGAGGAGAGAGAGAAACATCAATGATGAGAGAGAATCATCGATTGCCTGCCTCCTGCACACCCCCCACTGGGGATCAAGCCCACAACCCAGGCATGTGCCCTTGGCCAGAATCGAACCCGGGACCCTTCAGTCCGCAGGCTGACGCTCTATCCACTGAGCCCAGCCGGCCAGAGCTTGTTTGTTTTTTTTAAGAACACAAATTTCTCACAAACTAATACAGTGTGAGGCTGGCCCTTACCAAGAGGAGAGAATGTCTGGGAGGAGCCTAAGTTGTCAATGAGGGTGGGGACTTTGGAAAAGGCCACTGAAGTGAAGGCAGGAAAAGTCTGGAATCAATGACATGGGCTCATCCTGAATCCATCCCATTAGGAGGTCTGCGGCAAGGGTGGTGATGGGGCTGTAATCCAGGATTTAGGGTTTCACAGAATGTCAGCCTGAGGTGTGCATGAGGCCGCGGTTAAACCCATAGTCCTGGATCCCAGTTCAGTACTGCAGTTTCTGGTTTAGGGGGTGTGGGATGTGACCCGGGAATTTGCATTCATTTAAGTGTCTGAGGCAGGAAGCCTGTCCATCAGTAGAAACAGCCCTGTGCTGGACATACCTCGGGGTCATTTTGTAAGTTATACACATGCCTAATCACCATGTTGTGCATCTGAAACTAATATCATGCTGTATGTCCATTGTAATTAACAAACTTTTTAAAAATTAAATATTAAAAAGGGGGGAAAAAACAGCCCTGGCATGGTCTTTTTTAAAATATATATATTTTTTATTGGTGTTTTTTTTTTTTAGGGAGAGGAAGGGAGAGGGATAGAGAGCCAGAAACATCAATGAGAGAGAAACATCGATCCGCTGCCTCCTGCACACCCCCTACTGGGGATGTGCCCGCAAGGTACATACCCTTGACCGGAATCGAACCTGGGACCCCTCAGTCCGCAGGCCGAAGCTCTATCCATTGAGCCAAACCGGTTAGGGCTGGCATGTCCTTTTGATACAAATATTAGGATGGGTGACACCACTCCGTATCTAAGTATTGGTTCAAATTATATTTAGAAAAGACTTAAAGGGCAATAAAGGAAGACCCCCTTCCTACCATCACCAATTACAACCTATACGTTATTCAAAAGTCATAGCTTTTTTTTTTTTTTAACTCCTCACCCAAGGACATGCCATTATCAGAGAGAGAGACAGAAATACTGATGGGTTGCCTCCTGCAGCAGCCGTTTGGTCCTGTTGTGGGAGCAAACCTGCAACCCAGGACAAATATCAGGGATTCCTGTAACAACTCCATGCTGTTTAATGGTGTAATGTCCTTCACATGATATGACAGAAATGTTAGTTCAGCTACTCATTTTCACATCATAGTCAGCATCTCTGTAGCAGGTGAGGTTTTTATGTTACTATATATTTAAACAATCACATGCCTAGTAAAATACAATTTTATCACTGTGCATTGAGTCATCCATGTGTTCATTCACTTAAAAGTTTCTATAAGCACCATCATCCTTGCAAGTCACATTCAGCCAGCTAAGATGCAGGGAGCTCCAGGAGCCACCTGGAAATTCTCAGGTGGAGACCCCACACTGAGACTTCAGTGCCCACATCACCTGCCTTCCTGCAGGTGGGACAGTGGGCTCAGAAAAGTCTAATTTCATTCTCAAAAAGGTGCTTGCGGGCATTGGGGGAGCGAGAAGTGCCTGCCTGGGACGGTCTCTGCGGGGAGAGGCTGGAGTTCTGGGAGCCAAGGCAGGCTGCAGGCACAGCTGCGTCACTGCAAGTGGACACCTTAGCACTCGGCCTCCTCCAATTGCTCAGGGAAGGGGACATACCTCATGCTTGTTTTACACAGGAGAAAACTGGGGCCTAGACCAGAGGAAGGGCTTTGTTAAAAAAATATATATTTTATTGATTTTTTACAGAGAGGAAGGGAAAGAGATAGAGAGTCAGAAACATCGATGAGAGAGAAACATTGATCAGCTGCCTCCTGCGCATCTCCTACTGGGGATGTGCCCGCAACCCAGGTACATGCCCTTGACCAGAATCGAACTTGGGACCTTTCAGTCCGCAGGCCGACGCTCTATCCACTGAGCTAAACCGGTTTTGGCGGAAGGGCTTTTTTTATTGGAAGTCCGAATGCTATTCAAGAATCTGAAATTTGCCCTGACCGGCTTGGCTCAGTGGATAGAGCAGTGATGGCGAACCTCTGACACATGAACTCATTTTTTTGGTTGATTTTTCTTTGTTAAATGGCATTTAAATATATAAAATAAATATCAAAAATATAAATCTTTGTTTTACTATGGTTGCAAATATCAAAAAATTTCTATATGTGACACGGCACCAGAGTTAAGTTAGGGTTTTTCAAAATGCTGACACGCCGAGCTCAAAAGGTTTGCCATCACTGGGATAGAGCGTCGGCCTGCAGACTGAAGGGTCCCAGGTTTGATTCCAGCCAAGGGCACATGCCTGGGTTGTGGGCTTGATCCCCAGTAGGGGGTGTGCAGGAGGCAACCGATCAATGATTCTCATCATTGATGTTTCCATCTCTCTCTCCTTCTCCCTTCCTCTCTGAAATCAATAAAGAAATATATATTTTTTTAAAAAGAATCTGAAATTTAATGAACAACATAATCTGATGAACAAAAACAGATCCAGAGACAGAGAAACATCAATCAGACCATCAAACCTCAGAGGGAAGGTAGGGGACGGTGGGGGGAAGGGGGAGAGATCAACCAAAGGACTTGTATGCATGCATATAAGCCTAACCAATGGACACAGACAACAGGAGGGTGAGGGCATGAGTGGGGGCGTTGGGGGGGGGGGTAATGTGGGGATAAGGACACATATGTAATAACTTAATCAATAAAGACATTTAAAAAAAAGCATCTGAAATTTAAATCCAGAGTGCCCTACCCAGGGCATGGGGAGTCTGATCACTGCCCCGGCCCCCCTCGCCCATTTCCCTCTGCACTGACTTTGGGACAGCAAAACATCCTAACCTGCCCATCATCCTGATGCCATCTGGTCCTCCTGAGACCTATTCCAAGGCAAGAACCCCCATGGCAGGAGACCAGGGAGATGGAGAGTTCTACAAAGGGTGATTGCATTATCAAAGGATGGGACTTCTGTAAGTGAAGGCGAAGGTTAATAGGGTAGGTTAAAATTAACTTGTCCATTGTATTGTGCATAGCATCCCATATTGGAAGGAAACGAGAGTACACATTTTCAATACAAAAAACCCTTTATTTCATAAAAAAAAAAGGCACAGAATGAGTGAATTTTCCACATGCATCTTTGTTCTTTCAGAGTCTTTTTGTTAAATTGCCAAAACTCGTAGCAGATGAAGCAGAACCTATGATCAGATGTCTTAACTGAGATACAGAGAGGGCAAATACACATCTGAGAAAAGGCTCACCATAAATCCTTAGAAAAATACAACCAAACAACAGGGATCGCATGACAAAGTTATAAAAAAAAGTTTACATAAAGAACCATTGACCAACCCAAATATTCTCTAGAATATGGAGGAACTGAATCCTCATAAACTGCTGGAAAGATGCAAAAATATACCATCAGTTTAGATCACAATTTAATCTGTGTAAGTTGAACATTCACTGATGACTCAGACTATGCACTGAGCTATTTACAAAGGTAAATGAAACTTATCTATCGCTATATATAAAAGGCTAATATGCAAAGTGTCCCCTCAGAAGTTCGATCACTCGCTATGACATGCGCTGACCACCAGGGGGCGGTACGGAACAAAAGAAGGCCCCAATCGGCCCTGATCGCTGGCCAGGCCTAGGGACCCTTCCTCTTTTTTGGGGCACGAAATTCGGCATTTTTAAGCGTAACAATATCAATGATGTTAACACCTTCAGAAAATTTGACATATGAAGTTTTGAAGCTTGTTGTCAATACCACAAAATAGCATACATATCAAATCGCATATATAGCAACATATGTGTAACTCCATCTATTGAAAAAAGTCTGTATTATTAACCGGTACACCTAGTATATTCAATCCACATTCTCATGACTTCTGGGGCGGGAGAGAGGGTCTTGTCTCAGTGACATCCAATATAACTAACAATGAAGGACTTTCACAAAATCAACAGGAATGCCTGCTGGGTAATAAAAGCCACATCCCTGCACTCCATTCTTTATTTTTCTGCCAGGGCAACAAAGGCTCTGACTTGAACATCGGAGAGGCTACAGTAATCCACAAACATTTTTTTTAAAAAAACATATTATTGATTTCAGAGAGGAAGGCATTGGGAGAGATAGAAACATCAATGATGCGAGAAAATCATTGATTGGCTGCCTTGTACACGTCCCCCACTGGGGATCGAGCCCACAACCCTGGCATGTGCCCTTGACTGGAATTGAACCTGGGACCCTTCAGTCTGCAGGCCGATGCTCTATCCACTGAGCCAAACCAGCCAGGGCTCCACAAAACCTTTTTAAAAATGTCTTATGAATTCGAGAGAGAAGGGAGAGAGAGAAATTGATTTGTTGTTCCACTTAGTTGTACATTCACTAGTTGCTTCTTGTATGTGCCCTGAAAGGAGATCGAACCCGCAACCTTGGGGTATCAGCATGATGCCCTAACCAACTGAGCTACCCAGCGAGGGCCACAAAACCTGCTGATTATATTCCATGACAATGACTACATCCACAGAAGATAAACATGACGGGAGACTCCTGATTAGTGTACACACCGATCCTGCAGTCTTTTTCTCAAAAATTTCTGGGTGCCCGTTAAAAGGCACATTTCAGCTAGTGGGCTGGCCTCCTCCAGCACCTACCAGGTCGTGTTTCTGTTGCAATCATGGTTTCTCCTAACCCCTAAAACCAGTGACCATCACCTGTGGAACTGTAGACATTAGGGCACCTGGCCCTTTGCAAGACCTGAGCAAGAGATTCCCTTCCCTTCAAAAGTACTGGCATCATTTGCATACAAACAAACTCACTGCTGCTCCCAAATGTACTCGAGGTTGTCACAGCTACCCCCCTCTTTGGAGTGACCTCTCTGTCTCATAGCATCCAGACTTCACATGAGGACTACAGGCCCCACAGTCTTTCCTACAGAAATATGAACAACAATACAAATTTGGCAAAAACTGCTGAGCTAATTCCTGTACCGTATCATCTCCTAGGAAGCAGAGAAACTTTTTAAGGCTTGTACGAGTTATTCACCTCTTTGTGCTGGTATAGACCCAGATCTACTTATAAACCAACCCACACAGTAACTAGAACACCCAAGATTAAAGACTTAGGGGGAAAAGGCCTTCATTATTTTACAAGACAAAGGGACCACACCCTCACAGTTCTTGCATGTGTGACACTCAAAAAATTAATCACTGGTACCCGGCTGGTATGGCTCAGTGGTTGAGCATCGACCTATGAACCAGGAGGTCACGGTTCAATTCCTGGTCAGAGCACATGCCCAGGTTGCTGGTTCGATCTGTGTGGGGTGTGCAGGAGGCAGCTGATCAATGATTCTCTCTCATCATTGATGTTTCTATCTCTCTCTCCCCTCCCTTCCTCTCTGAAATCAATTTAAAAATATATTTTAAAAAAATTAATCACTGGCATCTAGGGAAAGCATGTCCTTGAACAAGGCAGTTATTCTGCAAGCCTCTGGCTAAACTCAGGTGATGTTCTTGGGGGCAAAAGTGAGTCAGATCCGTGCACCAATTACTGAGAGTAAAAGGAATAAAGACTTCCTAAAAATGCAGGCTACTCCTTATTTTCTCCAAAAAAATCAGAGAACAGTTAGCTTCTCTGAGCACAGTAGGATGGTGATGGATGCCATCTGTCGATACCTTCCAGGTGGTACATGTGAAATAGTTTATGTGACAAAAATATGCAGTGACTTAGATCTGGCAAGACACCTGGGGAAATTTAGAAAGTGCAATGTGCACACATGCGTCCCACATAAACTTACGGGGAACCCCCCCCTCCCCCCCGCCATGGTTGAACTATAGGATCTATCAACTATCTAGCATCATCTGTCTCCTTTATGGTCCTGTCAGCCTATAACCATTCCTGCTGAGAATGTCCAAATGCAAGTCCACTTGTCCATACGTTTGGACATATGAGCTTCAATTCAGACAAATGAGGCTTCAGTGCTTCCCTCAGTGTTGTTAAAACTGAACTAAGGCTCTCTCCTGTTGGTGATAGACCGGTTAAAGATGGGATCCACTGAAGAAGAAAGACCTGGCCTTCAGCGCCCTGTGTGCTAGCCCAGAATTGTTATTTGAAAGCCTCTGTTACATCTGCTGCAGACCCCCTAAACAAGTGGACTTGCATTTGGACATTCTCAGCAGGGATGGTGATAGGCTTACAGGACCATAAAGGAGATGATGCTAGTTGACAGATCCTATAGTTCAACTTCATCCTAGTTAGAAGCTGGATTCATCTGACATCAGAGAAATGAAATTTCAGGAGACCAAAACTAGATCTGAGTTTCTTTATAGAAACTTCTTTCCCAGCCTTGAAACTCTTGGATGCTATGAGTCCTGGATATGCAATAGATGACGACGACATTTTCCTTTTATGTATGAAGGTGTAGATGGAAGCTGACTTTTCTCACCAAAAATGGTTTATACAATCAACTTGAAAAACATGAGGCAGCAAACAAAGGAAAGAGTAAAATATTTCTTTTATCATCCTTAGGTTCTTTGCTAGATTGTAAACTCCATGAAAGCAGGATAAGTTCCCTATCCTTAACACCTGGCCTATAATAAATACTCAAAACATAAAACAAAACAAAACTGAATAAGCTATCAGTTTCCTAGACATCTCAGACCTTCCTCCCACGTAAACTCTTATGTGATGGTGAGGTTACAAGTTTGGCTAAAAGATGTCCCACATTAACTCCACTCCTAAGTCCTTTCTCTACTGTGAACTCTCTTATGATAGCGAAGGCTATGAATCCTGGTAAAAGACTTCCCACATTCACTGCACTCATATGGCCTTTCTCCAGTGTGAAGTCTCAGGTGACCTACAAGGCCATTGCTACTAGTAAAAGAATTCCCACATTTAGGGCACACATAAGGCCTTTCTCCAGTGTGAACTCTCTGATGATGTACAAGGCCACTTCTGCTGGTAAAAAATTTGCCACATGTACTGCACTCATAAGGCTTTTCTCCAGTGTGAAATCTCTGGTGATAATGGAGGCCAGTGCTACTTGTAAAAGATTTTCCACATTCATGACACACATAAGGCCTTATTCCACTGTGACCTCTCTGATGATAACAAAGGGATTCCTTTCTTGAAAAAGATTTCCCACATTCATTGCACTCGTAAGGCTTTTCTCCAGTGTGAACTCTCTGATGCTTATGAAGGCCTTGGATTTTGATAAAAAATTTCCCACATTTGTTGCACTCATAAGGCTTTTCTCCAGTGTGAACTCTCTGATGATATTGAAAGCCATTGCTACTCTTAAAAGATTTTCCACATGCAAGGCACTCGTAAGGCCTTTCTTCAGTGTGAACTGTCTCATGACTACGGAGGCCACTGCTACAGCTGAAAGATTTCCCACATTCACTGCACTCATAAGGCTTTTCTCCTGTGTGAAATCGCTGATGACTGTGGAGGGCACTGCTACAGCTAAAAGATTTCCCACATTCACTGCACTCATAAGGCCTTTCTCCTGTGTGAAATCGCTGATGATAATGAAGGCCAGAGCTACTGAAAAAAGATTTCCCACACTCACTGCACTCATAAGGCCTTTCTCCAGTGTGAACTCTCTGGTGACTACGGAGGCCACTGCTACCAGTAAAAGATTTCCCACACTCACTGCACTCAAAAGGCTTTTCTCCCGTGTGAACTCTCTGATGACTGCGGAGGGCACTGCTACAGCTAAAAGATTTCCCACATTCACTGCACTCATAAGGCCTTTCTCCTCTGTGAAATCTCTGATGATAATGAAGGCCAGAGCTACTGAAAAAAGATTTCCCACACTCACTGCACTCATAAGGCCTTTCTCCAGTGTGAACTCTCTGATGATAAGGAAGGTAATACATCCTTGAAAAAGACTTCCCACACTCACCACACTCACCACACTCATAACGTCTTTTTCCGGAGTGAACACTCTGATGACAGTGAAGAGTAGAAATTTTGCTAAAACATTTTCCACATTCCTGGCACACAAAACGCTGTCTTTCAGTACAAATATTCCTGTCCTGAACAAATGTGTGGATGCTGCCAATGGTTTTATGATATTCTTTCCGGATGTCGTTATTTCTGCTTTGAAAACTCACCTCAGATGTCAAGATTTCATTTGTTCTATCCCTGGTGGGAGTAGCCTGTTGCTGTAGATGTCCTGACCCGGTTAACATGTCTTCTCCAAATTCCCCACAGGTAAAAGGTTTCTGTGACACACTAAAATCACCGCCCCTTGCAAGAGAGATGCTGTCCACATCTTTAACGAAAGGCTTCTCTCTCCTATGCTGCTTCTGGTGCTGGTCAAATTTTGCACGGAAATAAAATCTTTTTGCACATGCTCCACACCTCAACAGTCTCTGGCTGTGTTGGGTTTCCTTCAGTTCAACCAGCTGGAAAATGTTTCCCAAGACTGGCCCACAACTCCCACAGGGGTGGCTCTGCTGGGAGGACAAGGCTACCTTGGGATTCCTGGCCTGTGACACTCTTACAGAAACCTTCTGTTCAGGGGGAGTCGCCACATCCTCTGCGCCACAGCAGCAACCTGAAGAAAAGGAAACGCTGGTGAGGTACATGTTGACCTGATAGGGAAGGGATAGCCTCACCACAAATACCCATCTGCCCCAGTGAGGCATGATTTTATGGGATGATTTTCTTTTGTTTCAAATATATATATATTTTTTAAATATATTTTATTGATTTTTTACAGAGAGGAAGGGAGAGAGAGATAGAGAGTTAGAAACATCGATGGGAGAGAAACATCTATTGGCTGCCTCCTGCACATCTCCTACTGGGGATGTGCCCGCAACCCAGGTACATGCCCTTGACCGGAATCGAACCTGGGACCTTTCAGTCCGCAGGCCAACGCTCTATCCACTGAGCCAAACCGGTTTCGGCTGTTTCAAATATTTTTATTGATTTCAGAGAGGAAGGGAAAGGGAAAGGGAGACAGAAACATCAATGACGAGAGAGAATCATTGATTGGCTGCCTCTTGCATGCCCTCTACGGGGGATCAAGCCCGCAACCCAGGTATGTGCCCTTGACCGAAATCAAACCTGGGACCCTTCAGTCCATTGGCCGATGCTCTATCCACTGAGCCCAACTGGCTAGGGTTATGGGATGATTTTCAGGACAAGTGAGTTAGACGCTAAGAAATGGCTGGCTGCTGCTACACATTACTTGGCCCCAAAGGTCAGTGAACGTTACAAACCACATCAAGAAAAGGACACAGCATAGGATGAGACCCAGAAAAGAGAGGCAGGGTCCATTAGTTGTCCCTCCATAAATGGCTTCCTCTCAGACCAGTTTTGCAGGTGATGGGAATCTGTGTAGAATAATTTGAATGTACTCCCACCCATAAAGACCAGTTGTCTTAGAGCTGGTGTGACATGATATTCAAGGTCAACATTATGACACATGCACACTCCAAGGCTCTGCAGGCATGGATCAATGTTGCAGTACAGGAAAGAAAAACCTGAAAGGGAAATGCGTGAGGTGCAAAGTTTAGAAAGGTGAAGATTCCCCATGGGCTGGGAATCTGAATAGAAAGGATCACTATCGCCCTGACCGGTTTGGCTCAGTGGATAGAGCGTCGGCCTGCGGACTGAAAGATCCCAGGTTCGATTCAGGTCAAGGGCATGTACCTTGGTTGCGGGCACATCCCCGGTGGGAGGTGTGCAGGAGGCAGCTGATCGATGTTTCTCTCTCATCGATGTTTCTAACTCTCTATCCCTCTCCCTTCTCTGTAAAAAATCAATAAAATATATTTTTTTTAAAAAAAGGATCACTATCAGAATTGAGTAGTTGGCAAAGTGTCAATAAGAACAAGTAGAATGGAGTGGAACTGGCAACGGTACCAAAAACTGAACAACAAAAGGAGTTCCTAGTTACTACCTCCACAAAGCCCTGGCATCCATCTCTCTCCAACAGCACTTTATCCCGGCAAGGCTGCCTCGGGGGCCACCCTGGCCTGGACGGGGTCATGTATCGCCTGTGATGCACAAATGATTCTTTCCCTTAAATCCCAGTGGAGCCATTACCTGGGATAGAGATGAATAGAAATCTGAAAAGGAAAACTGAAGAGCTGGATGGCCAGAACGGTGGTATGACAACAAAGCACAAAAGAGAGCACAGGAGAAGCTCTAGGTGAGTGACATCAGCAAGGTGGCAGACCAGGGGATACCAGTATTCATCCCTCTCCCAGACCAAGGAGACAGCTAGCTCTTCATGAACGACCACCAGCACAACACAAGAAAGGGGAGTAAGAGTTCAATGGAGCCAGTGGATAGAGTGTCAGCCTGCGGACTGAAGGGTCCCGGGTTCGATTCCGGTCAAGGGCATGTACCTGGGTTTCGGGCACATCTCCAGTGGGGGATGTGCAGGAGGCGGCTGATCGATGTTTCTCTCTCATCGATGTTTCTAACTCTCTCTCTATCTCTCTCCCTTCCTCTCTGTAAAAAATCAATACAATATAAAAAAAAGAGTCCAATGGAGACAGCTTCCTCCGCACTCACCGCCCGTTGGCGGGTGCACGGTTCGTCACCGCGGCCACTGCTAATGCCGGCGCCTGGAGTGTCCTGGCTGGACCAAGACCTCCCCCGACCCCCGCCATGTGAGCAGGTTTCTTCCCTCCACCACCTATTGCCACCACACTAGGGAACGTCCTCAAGCCCTGGCCTTCAGGGAAGAGGTAATAGGAACCCGGAGCAGAGCTGCCTCCTGCACACTCCCTACTGGGGATGTGCCCGCAACCAAGGTACATGCCCATGACCAAAATCGAACCTGGGACCGTTGAGTCCTCAGGCGGACGCTCTCTCCACTGAGCCAAACCGGTTAGGGCTCTCATCGATGTTTCTGACTCTGTATCCCTCTCCCTTCCTCTCTGTAAAAAAATCAATAAAATATAGTAAAAAAAATTTATGAAGATAACATTGTGTGCCTTAATAGATACACAATATGAAAACCTGTGAATGGAGACATCAGAAACCTATAAAGGAGTTTGGTGGAGAGTCAAAGGGTAGCATTTTTGTATTCAACTGAAGGTGTTACCAGGATAAAATAGGCTGTAAAGAGTATGCGTTCTTTTGTGTTAAGTCCCTTGGAAACCACAAGCAAAAACCTGTGTGATAGATATACAAAAGAGATACGAGTCAAACCACTATACAAAATGACCAAATCACAGAAGAAAGACCACAAGGCAGTAAGACAAACAAACGGGTGCAAAAGAGTTAAAAAACCAATGAAGAAGCGGCAATAGTAGGTCCTAAAACAAATTCTCCATTCAAAAGACATAAAAAACCTGGCTGGCAGGGCTCAGTGGTTGATCTTTGACCTATGAACCAGATGGTCAGGGTTCGATTGCAGGTCCGGGCATATGCCTGGGTTGCGGGCTCGATCTCCAGTAGAGGGCGTGCAGGAGGCAGCCAATCAATGATTCTCTCTCATCACTGATGTTGCTCTCTCTAGCTTCCTCGCCCTTCCTCTCTGAAATCAATTGAAAAGTATATTTTAAAGAAGAAACATACAGCCCAAGCTGTTTGGCTCAGTGGATCGAGCGTCAGCCTGCAGACCAAAGGGTCCCGGGTTTGATTCCAGTAAAGGACACACACCTTGGTTGCAGGCTCCTCCCTAGCCCAGGCCCTGGTTGGGGCTCACACAGGAGGCAACCAATCAATGTGTTTCTTTCACACCGATGTTTCTTCTTTGTCTTTATCTCTCTTCTACTCTCCCTAAAAATCAATGGAAAAATATCCTTGGGTGAAGATTAACCAAAAAAAAAAAAAAAGAAAAGAAAATTACTTTATAGCCGGCCACTGTGGTTCAGTGGTTACAGCATTCACCCAAACATCAAAGGGTCCCGGGTTCAATTCCTGCTCAAGGGCAAATACCTGGCTTGTAGGTTCAACCCCTACCCAGGTCACGGTGAGTTCCAGGGGCCAACAATCTTTGTATCCTTCTCACATGTATATCTCTCTCTCTCTTTTCCACCCCTCTCCCTTCCACTTTCTTTAAAAAAAAATCAATGAAAAAATATCCTCAGATGAAGATTAACAACAACAAAAAAACTTTATAGGTAAACATTGGTATGGATGAAAAGGGGCCACATGCTAACCTGACAAGCTCTGGGAAGGCCTGTGTGCAGGCCTTGCAAACTCAGAGTTCTAAAGTACCAAAAAAGGGGGGTCTGAAATGAAAACTTTTTAAAAAAAATATATTTTATTGATTTTTTTACATAGAGAAAGGGAGAGGGATAGAGAGTCAGAAACATCGATCAGCTGCCTCCTGCACACCCCCTACTGGGGATGTGCCCGAAACCAAGGTACATGCCCTTGACCGGAATTGAACCTGGGACCTTTCAGTCCGAAGGCCAACGCTCTATCCACTGAGTCAAACCAGTTAGAGCTGAAATGGAAACTTTTTAACTAAAAGTAGTTTATGGCAGTTTTCGTATTCATGTCCTAGGCTAGTATCTTCCCTGACAAAAGTCAACTTTTTTAAAAAAAGATTTTTTTATCGATTTTTACAGAGAGAAGAAGTGAGAAGGAGAGATAGATAGAGGCATCCATGAGACGGGAAGCATCTATAGGCTCCCTCATGCATGTCCCCTAATGAGAATCGAGCCAGCAACAAGGATGTGCCCTGACCTGGAATCTAACTAGCAACTTCTTGGTGCATGGGTCCAAGCTCAACCACTGAGCGACACAGACTGGGCCAAAAGTCAATTTTTACCTTAACTGAGCCTGTCAATTGTCATTTGCATCTATGAAAACATACCTTGGGCCCGGCCAGCATGGCTTAGTGGTTGAGCATCGATCCATGAACCAGGAGGTCAGGGTTGCGGGCAGGAACCCCAGTGTGGGGCGTGCAGGAGGCAGACAATCAATGATTCTCACCATCGATGTTTCTATCTCTCTCTCTTCCTTCCTCTCTCTAATCAATAAAAATATTTTTTAAAAAAACAAAAACAAAAACAAAAGCCCATACCTTGGGAATATCAGGGTGACTTCCCTTTATCAGACCTCTCAGGGCACAATGAATGTACCAGGGCAGGGACTACAAATACTCTCATTATTTTTATCGTGTTAATTGTTGACTGTTAACTATTCTGTATCCACCTATATAAAAGATTTAGCATTGCCCTAGCTGATTTGGCTCAGTGCATAGAGGGTTGGTGTGTGAACTGAAAGGTCCCAGTTCAATTCTGGTCAAGGGCACATGCTGGGGGGTGCGAGCTCGATCCCCTATAGGGAGTGCATGAGGCAGCTGATTGATGATTCTCTCTCATCATTGATGTTTCTCTCTCTCCCCCTCTCCATTCCTCTCTGAAATCAATAAAAATATATTTTAAAAGATTTATAGCCTTAACCAGTTTGGCTCAGTGGATAGAGTGTCGCGCTGCGGACTAAAGGGTCAAGGGTTCGATTCCGGTCAAGGGCATGTACCTTGGTTGCGGGTGCATCCCCTGTAGGGGGTGTGCAGAAGGCAGCTGATCGATGTTTCTCTCTCATCAATGTTTTAACTCTCTATTCCTCTCCCTTCATCTCTGTAAAAAAAATCAATAAAATATATTTTTAAAAGAGAAAAGATTTATCATTTTATTTTTTTTTATCCAATTCCAGAGGTTTCCCTGCTTTGCTTCTCCCTCCTCCCTAATCTATTAGCAATAAATTTCCTATAACCCTCTTAAGTGATCTCTTTTCATTGTAATGTATCAATTAAGATGCAAAACTACCATTCTCTGGTGCATTGCCTCACTGCCTTAAGATTTTGCTTGCTGCCAATTGGCGACAGTTTGGCTCATGTAAACTCACAAAAATTCTTCACACCTTTGAATATTTCTGAAGTTGACACTGGTAAACAATATCTAAACCTGCTGGAAAAATGGCCACACTAACTTCCTGAATACAGTGTTGCCAAAAACATTGAATTTGTTTAAAAAAAAAAACAACCACCACCACACAAACCCCCGAAATACCTGCAAAGCATAATCAAGCACCTGCAAAACGACGTGATATGTAATAAAGAATTAACATGTAGCCCTAACCGGTTTGGCTCAGTGGACAGAGCGTCAGCCTGAGGACTGAAGGGTCCCAGGTTGGATTCCGGTCAAGGGCATGTACCTTGGTTGCGAGCTCATCTCCAGTAGGAGGTGTGCAGGAGGCAGCTGATCAATGTTTCTCTCTCATCTGATGTTTCTAACTCTCTATTTCTCTCTCTTCCTCTCTGTAAAAAATCAATAAAATATATTTAAAAAATAAAGAATTAACATGTAAAATATAGAAGGTATTCAAAAGACACATTAGCCAAAAAATCCAGATTAAAAAAACGAGCTAAGGATAAAGAGACAATATTCCAAAAATTATGCACAAATGACCAACAGGAATATAAAAAATGTTTTTCCTCGCTAATCGAGGTGGAATCCGTTAGGCTCCCTGCCACACTACCAATCAGAAATCCTTCCCTATGAGTTTAGTGCAGCAGGTACTGGGGCTGCATGGAGAGAGGCCGGCAGTGCAAACAAAGGACAGCAACTACCCAGAAAACCGGAAAATCACCCAGTGCCCACAGTCCACATGTGAGGACAGAGCGCACCTGGGAAAAGGGGCCTGGGGAAATGCAAGGTTAAGTCCAGGTCACTGGTGAGAGTGAGGGTCTTACCCAGGGAGGATACAAGTTCAAAGTTCTCCAGCATCACATTCAGGTACAGCTGTCTCTGACCCTCATCAAGGAGGCTCCATTCCTTCTTGGAGAAGTACAGGGCAATGTCCTCCAAGGTCACGCCAACCTGTCAGAATTGTGACAACTGAAACTGTGGTAGGCATTTATGCAGACATAATGCAGAGCAAAGACAATGGGCCAACCAGCGGAGAAATGGGCAGGACCCTGAAACGGGTGTCTCATCACTCCCACTGCCCTGAAGCTGGCAAAGGGTGAACCTATGGAGAATGTACCTTTACATCTTGCCCAGGAGGAGTTAGGATACCTATGACGAATATAAAGAATTATTTTATTCACTTTGGGAAGTCACAGACGGGGGCCCTTATTCGTTGGGACCCATTGTCTCGGAAAAGAATGCAGGGATGTTTTCTCTAAAGGTTGGTACAGTGGCTTCCTGTGGTGTTGGTCTGACTTTTACCGGGTTTTCTAGTTACTGTCTTTCAGGATCTATACCTACAATATGAATTATTTGTATAATGTCGCCCTCCTTATGGTGATGGACATACGAAGCTGCTGGCTAGCTGGTTTCTCTCCCATGGGGTAGCTGTTTCCTCCTGTAACCCTGCCAACAGCACCAGGGGGCCTTGCTTCTTAGGACCAGCGACTGTCTTGAGGCCTCAGAAACATCACAGGGTCTGAGACTTTCTCAAGGCCATGGCACCAGGCTGTTAAGGACCATCTCCACCTGGGGGCCCTGCTGCATATACTGCTTTAACCGTATTGGTAATGCTCCTGTTGTATCACAAATCAGGGAGCTGGACAAGACGCCTTAATCAGACACTTAGTTAGGAGTCATCTTTATTGCGTGCAGGTTCAGAGCAGATTACCTCTGTCAAATTCTGATCAAACCCTAACCGGTTGGGCTCAGTGGATAGAGCGTTGGCCTGCGGACTGAAAGGTCCTGGGTTTGATTCCGGTCAAGGGCATGTACCTTGGTTGCAGGCACATCCCCAGTAGGGGGTGTGCAGGAGGCAGCTGATTGATGTTTCTAACTCTCTATTCCTCTCCCTTCTTGTCTGTAAAAAATCAATAAAAAAATATTTTTAAAAAATAAAATAAAACTATTGTCATAGATATGAGGTGACAGAAATAGCAGCGGGGAAATGAAGGGGGCAGAAATAGACTATTGAGGACTAGCAATCAGTTATAAGATATATTAATAAGAAATATTAAGCATGCTCCGTTAACCGTGATTGTTTTGTTCTCATTAAACAAAGCTCAGTCTACCATGGCTAGGAGTTGTACCAGGGCCCTGGGAGCTCCCCAGGAAATGCAGCCCATCCTCCTTAGCAAGGAGCTGCTTATCATGGAAAGATAAACCACTTTGTTGTAGGAATGAAACAATGACGTTCTGATGGCCCCTTCTTTTGCAAAGACCCAGTCCACACTGCCTGTAATCTGTAACCATTATGCCCATTCTGATTTCCCTTGGCCTACTTCCCCAAGAAATCTTTGTCCTTGTACCCCACGTGAGCAGCTGGCTTATGGGGAGAGGCAGGGCAGATTTGGGGGGTATGACCTGCTGCCCTCCCATGCTGTCGGCATGATTGGAATAAACACTCATCTATGATTCAACCCTGTCTCTGCTGAATTGGCTCAAGCAGTGACAGGCAGCCCGGACCCATTGGCCGTCCAGTTTCAAAACCAGAACAGTCATTCTGAGACCCCCCAATCCTATTCCTTACACATCTTCCCCTGCTCAACCTCCCCCAGAGCTCTAATGCTAATGCTCTCTCATCAAAGTCCCATTAATCACTGTTACTGCCCTCAGCTACAGCAACTGAGTGGGGCGGGAAGGGATAGAGGGGGGCTGTGGGGGAGGACGTGGAGAGACAGTATATAAGTGCCATTTACGGTCTGGGCGATGTCTGCAGGGCCCCGGCCTTCCTGCCAAGCAACACCACTGCAGTCTCCTAGATCCTGCCTCCACGACAAAGCCAAACCTGGGTTTATGCTTCACCCATAAGTCCCCACACCAGGTCCCTGGAACTATCAGCTCACACTTCCTCCAGATGTGCACACCACTGCGTAATGTCTATCCCCTTCCCATCCTACAGATTTTTTTTTTTTTTTTTTTTTTTACAGAGAGGAAGGGAGAAGAATAGAGAGTTAGAAACATCCATGAGAGAGAAACATCGATCAGCTGCCTCCTGCGCACCCCGCACTGGGGATGTGCCCGCAACCCTGGCATATGCCCTTGACCAGAATCGAACCTGGGACCCTTCGGTCGGCAGGCCGACGCTCTATCCACTGACCCAAACCGGCTAGAGCCCCTTCCCATTTTCAGACTCCAGTTTCACTCCCTCAGCTCCGCCCCCTTCCTGCTCCAATGCCACCGGATCTCGCTGGACTCACCCATGAACTCGGCAGATGGCGTGTAGAGAGCTTGGAGTCCAGCCGGATCCAGGACCACCCCAGGCCCCTGATGGACCCACAGCCGGGAAAGCCCCGAATGAGTCTGTGCCGTCCTCCCTGCAGCCTCTGCTCTTTCCGTCAATACTCACAGCCACATCCTCAGGGACCTTCAGATGCAAGTCACCCCCGTCCTCTCTGCCCTGCACTTGCTGTGTCCTCAGAAGCCACACACTCCTCTCTCCCCTCCACCTTCCTCACGGTCCTCCACGCGGGACTGAGCTGCAGGACGGGACAGGCGCCCGCACCCGGCTGTCCTGTTGGGTGTGAGGACGCGGTGAGGGCCCGGAGGACGCGCACTCACCTCAGCCCCGCGCCTCGGGGCGGGCGCCGCCATCGGACTGTGTGTGCGGAGCCGGGCGGGAGCGGCGGGAGCAGAGGCCGCGGCGGGAAGGGCGGTCCCTGTCCGGGCCCTGGAGCGGGTCACCCGGGCGGGGACATCGAGCTTAACTCCCGCGCGTGTGCTGTGTGCGCCACGACTCGCGCGCCTTCTCCCTCGGGGCATCTCCACCGGGACCCAGCGACCTGCAGCCTCGGGCCTGGCTGCTCAGCGGGTTCTGGGAGGAGACAAAACGCCCGCTGTGAGGAGGAGACGGAAAGCCCGCCCCTGCGCGTTGAGCTTCGCTGGAAACAGCTTTTCTGACCCTTCATTGGCTAAATCGGATGCATTCCAAAACCAGGCTTCTAGCCCCAGCGGGTTTGGCTCACTGCATAGAGCGTCTGCCTGCGGAGTGAAGGATCCCGGGTTCGATTCTGGTCAAGTGCATGTGCGAGGGTTGTGGGCTCCATCCCCAGTGGGGGCTGTTGCAGGAGGCAGCTGATGGGTGATTCTCTCTCATCACTGATGTTTCCATCTTTTTCTTCCTCTCTGAATCAATACAAATAAAAAGCAATAAAAAAATAAACCAAACCCAGGGTTTTCCCACCTCCCTCCAAGGGTAAAGGTCCAGGATGGTCTAAGGCAGTGGTTCTCAACCTTCCGAATGCCGCGACCCTGCAATACAGCTCCTCATGTTGTGCGGACCCCCAACCATAAAATTATTTGCGTGGCTACTTCATCACTGTAATGTTGCTGCTGTTATGAATCATCATGTAAATATCTGATATGCAGGATGTCTTTTCATTGTTACAAATTGAACATAATTTAAGCACAGTGATTAATCACAAAAACAATATGGAATTATATATGTGTTTTCCGAGGGTCTCAGGCGACCCCTGTGAGAGGGCGTTCGGCCCCCAAAGGGGTCGCGACCCACAGGTTGAGAACCGCTGCTCTAAGGCAAGTTGTCATCCTTTCCTGATGAAGGGACTGGAGTCCCTGGTGATGAAAACACATTATCTATGACTCCAATACAGCCAGTCATAACGAGATATGCCTGCATTACAGTGCATTACAGTCTGGAAAATGTTATCACATAAATGACCTGCTTGCACCATCATATATGTCTGTGGCCAATAAAACAGGAATATAGGGCAAGCCTTGGAAATAAAAAGGAACTCAGATGCATCGTATAAAGTTTAATTGGAAGTCTATTGTTTTTATAGGGATTTGAACATCAATTAAGATGATGCTTAAAGACTTGGAAGTCAGTGCTGATCTGTTTTTCCCTTTCAGGGATTTCAAGTCCTGTGTGCAAGTGCTCATGATTTACCATGTAGAAAGGATTTCTCATCTCCATTAAACTCAGTGGGGTTCTTTAATTTCATATCTTCCTTTCTGGTTAATTAAACTTAACCTTGATTTCAAAGATTTCCTACCTAAGTCCAAAATTACAGCCACATTTGTTTTTTTACTTTCTTTTAAAATTTTTCATTTAAAAAAAGTTTTTTTTTCATTTTTTAGGTCATATTTGTTTCACTCAGATGAACAGTATTCCTAAGTGCATTGCTTTCACTGCATTGTTGCATGCTCTTCAGAACTGGTAGGTTCTGAGAGTACTCATGCAGATGACTCAACTTTCCTGATTCTTAGGAAAAAAAAAAAATAACAAATTCCTTCATGAGAATGCCTTTATTGTCAACCATCCCATACCATTAAGATGTAAGGTCAAAAAGTATCAGATCCAAGAAGAAACAAGAAGTATATTTATTTTTTTAAATATTTTAAAAAATAGATTTCAGAGAGGAAGGCAGAGGGAAAGAAACAACAATGATGAGAGAAAAAATCATCAATTGGCTGCCTCCTGCACGCCCCACACTGGGGATTGAGTCTGCAACTCAGACATGTGCCTTGACCGGGAATCAAACCATGACCTCCTGGTTCATAGGTCGACACTCAATCACTGAGCCATGCCAGCTGGGCAACAAGGAGTATATTTAAAGCAAAAACACCCACAAAAAATTCTCATCTCAGGAAATCCACATGTGGAGAGGAGCGTGGTTTACCTAGCCTTGGATACCCTCAAAGCTGTGACCCTTCTCTCTCTTTTAAATTAAAAGAATATTATTTTTTTATTGCCCGGCCGTGTGGCGTAGTGGTTGAGAGTCAACCCATGAACCAGGAGGTCAAGGTTTGATTCCCAGTCAGGGCACATGCCTCAGTTGTGGGTTCAATTCCCAGTAGGAGGACGTGCAGGGGGTAGCCGATTGATGATTCTCTCTCATCATTGATGTTTCTATCTCTCTCTCTCTCCCTGAAAAAAATAAAATAAAATATATAAAAATGTTTTTACAAATATTTTAAATTGATTTTTAGAGAGAGATGAAAGGAGAGGGACACACACACAGACAGAGACAGACAGAGAGAGAGACATGGATGTGAGAGTGAAACATAGATTGGGTACCTCCTGTACACCCCCAACTGAGAATCAAGCCCACAATTCAGGCATGTGCCCTGACCCAGAATTGAACTGGCAACTTTTGGTACAAGGGACAATGTCCAACCAAGTAGCCAGGGCAGACACCATCCCTTAATGACTAGAATATGACTCCTATGGCCACTCTTGCTGGTTCTCACTCACTCACCTGGACTGCTTCTAGTATAGATTTCATTCTTTATTTTCCATGGTTGTTCTCCATGTTGCAACTTGGACAGCGCATCTAGTCCGGTAGTGTGATACCCTGTTCATAGAAGACCTAGATATGGTGACTTGTAGTATGTGAAGATGGGAAACATGACATTTTAGAGACAAAAGAATTTCTCGTATGCAAAGTAAAACTTCTCTTTCAGGATAGAGGACATTATACCCTTTTGTTAGGGGCCAGAGCGGGGGCTGAAAGTCTTGACCTTCAGATGACCACAGTGACTGCAAAACGTTCAGCAAATATTAGAGCAAAGGCCAGTGACCCGGCACCTCTAAATGACACAGGGAGCTCTCCTTACCCAGTGAAAAAATATTGACAGAGTTCTCCAACGTCATGTCCCAATACAGGTCTTTGTGAGCAGGGTTCAGGAGCTGGGACTCCTCCCAACTTAACTCCACAGTAACATCCTCCAATGGCAGCAATTCCAGTAACAACACAGTCCTGTTTAACATATCAACTGCTTTTATTAATATAAAAGATACATGAGGGATGTTGTTCTAATTTTCACCACATAGCCTGCATCTATATACTCTTCTTAAGTATATTTTAGAAGCAACATCCCCTATATATATATAGTTTAGCACCTATTTCCAATTACTCTATATTATACAAATAACATCTGGACAAATACAATACTCCTACATAAACATGAAACACCACATCTAGAATTTATAAGCCATTTCCCCCTCTCCCTCCACCCCAGTGGCAGAGTAGGTTTTTGTTTCTTTTTATTTCTAGAAGTGCTCTAAAATACATGTTCCCAAAATTGTCAAAAGGCAAGCAATATGGGTTTGTACGTCATATTAGTCGAGCGAGCAAATTCCATACCTTTTCTCACACAAAATAATAAAACTTTTTTTTAAAAGTACACTTTTAAAGACGTTCATTGGATTTACCATCAAACATTAAACACATAGCACAACAAAATAAGTGTACATTTTTCTTTAATCTAAAGAAAATTTATTGTTTTTTCCTTGAAATCAAATGTCCATTGCATTCTCACCACAGAATTGTATTCTATCATATATATCTACACTAATAAAAGACAAACATGCAAATTGACTGTACCTTTGCTACGCCTTAAGCCATGCCCATCAGCCAGTCGGAGTGACTATATGCAAATTAACCAAACCAAGATGGCAGCCGGCAGCCACAGAGCTGGATCAAGCAGGAGGCTTGGTTGCCCCAATGATGGAGGAAGCCAAGCTTCCTGCCTGCCGCTGCTGTTCTGAGCTCCACTCAAAGCAACAAAGTTTCAATTATAGAAGGTAAATAAACCCCAGATACCTGCTTTCAGCCAGCCGTGGCCACGGAGCTGGAGGGAGCAGGAGTGGGTTGCCCCTGGTGATGGAGGAAGCCAAACTTCCCTCCCGCCTGCCCTGGCCAGCTCTGAGCTTCTCTCAGGCTACAAAGTTTCAATTATAGAAGGTAAATAAATCCCAGAATAAAATAGTAAAAAAGGAGAGGCTGGGAGCTTCAGTCGCCGATGGGGGGGGCTTGGCCAGCCTGAAAACGGCCCTCAGCTCCTGACCCAGACTGGCCAGGCACCCCAGTGGGGACCCCCACCCTAAAAGGGGTGTGGTCAGCCTGCAAACAGCCATCAGCCCCTCACCCAGGCTGGCCAGGCACCCCAGCGGGACGCCTACCCTGATCTGGGACACCCTCCAGGGCAAACCAGCTGGCCCCCACCCATGCACCAGGCCTCTATCCTATTTAATAAAAGGGTAATATGAAAACTGACCCTAACAGCAGAACAACTGGGAATGAATGGTCACTATGACACACACTGACCACCAGGGGGCAGATGCTTAATGCAGGAGCTGCCCCCTGGTGGTCAGTGCACTCCCACAGGGGGAGCTCTGCTCAGCCACAAGCCAGGCTGATGGCTGCCAGCACAGAGGTGGTGGTGGGAGTCTCTCCTGCCTCCTCAGCAACACTAAGGATGTCCGACTGCAGCTTAGGCCTGCTCCCTGCTGGCAAGTGGACATCCCCCAAGGGCTGCTGGGTTGCCAGAGGGATGTCTGACTGCCAGCTTGGGCCTGATCCCCCAGGGAGCGAGCCTAAGCCAGCCGGTGGACATCCTCCGAGGGGTCCCAGACTGCAAGAGGGCATAGGCCGGGCTGAGGGACCCCCGAGTGCACAAATTTTTGTGCACCGGGCCTCTAGTGTATATATATAATTGTATTCTGACCATATGTATGTATATGTGTGTGTGTATATTTGTTAACACTATTACAGACTAGAGGCCCAGTGCACAAAAATTTGTGCACTCGGGTGGGTGGGAGGGTCCCTCAGCCTGGCCTGTGCCCTCTCGCAGTGTGGGACCCCTCGGGAGATAATGACCTGCTGGCTTAGGCCTGCTCCCGGGTGGCAGAGGGCAGGCCCAATCCCTAGGTGCAGCCCCTGGTCGGGCTCAGAGCAGGGCCGATTGGGGAGTTGGGGCGCCGCTCCATCATGCACAGAGCAGGGAGATTGGGAGGTTGGGATGCCACCCTCAGTCATGATCAGGGTAGGGCCGATTGGGGGGTTGGGGCACCGTCCCCTGTCACACTCAAGGCAGGGTCGGTCGATGGGGAGGTTGCGGCGCCACCCCCTGTCATGCACAGAGCAGGGCCAATCAGGGGGTTGGGGCACTGCCCCCTGTCACTCACAGAGCAGGGCCCGTCAGGGGGATTGGGGCTCTGTCCCCT